ACCCAGGGGAGGACATCCATCACATAGTAATCTCATGTGTGGGAAATTAACGTCTCCTACAATCTACCCCGGGGATCCTGCTATGAAAGTCCAAAAGCAATCCAATCTCCCCCATCCCGAGCTTAAAAAATTGCAAACAAAGCTGACAAGTCCTGCACCAAGCCCGTGTATGTCCCCGTGGTTACCTCCCCCTCCCCCAGGATGGCCATTGATAAGTGCATTAGAACTATTTGTAAGATGTATGGTAAAGGTAAAGCTTAGATAATATAGTGAACCACTGTGATTATCATTTTGGTTCGTTTTGCATGGCAAACTTTTTTGCACTTTCTGAAATTCTTGCCATATAGATATTAGTAATAAGGCAAAGAGCATGAAAGGATATTATTGCAGAGTCAAGTCCAGTTCGAAAAAAGAATGACTGAAAACCACAGGCCAGGGTAAATAACTTTGATGTAGTAAAACTTGCTTGAGTAAACAATCATCGATTGGTTAATTCACTGATAGAAGAGTAAATTGAATGTTGGCTATTACTGTAGACAAACATTCTACACATTATTATAGACTAACTGACTACTTCACAGGGTCTTTCTTTTTTAACAATTGTCTGTTATTGCTTAGTTATGTACTACTCTAAGCAATTTTTTTGGTTCTGTCCTCGTGTACCGGTTCACAAGAGCCAATACAAAAGACCAAACAATAAACAATAGCTAACCGATAACTCCTAAACAAAGAAAGAACAATGGTAATTCCCTTGTGAACCGGTACACCAGGACAGAACCATTTTTTTTGGTTAAATGAAACTGTTCTAGCTTTCGAAAAAAACTTAAATAAAAACTATCATATTTATTTCTTTTCTACCTCCCTAAAACACTCACCAATCAACCAAAGCCACTTTCCTCTGCCCCAAAGATAGCCATTGAGGTTCGAATGTGTACAAGTACAGTACAACTGTACGTAGGGTGATGACGTGACAAAATTATCAGAAAGCTAAAATATCATGTGATTTGCATTTGCAAATGACTATTTGCATAGAGAAAAAAATATATGTCGCGATGGAATTCAAAGCTGGAGGTAAAGATGGTAAGAAAAGAACTAGACGTAACGTGGCTTACCCTTATTACCGAAGTGACCTAAGCTTTCACTTGAAAATTAAATTCACCAACCTGACAAAGCAAGGCCTTGTTGATCGCTACATAGTACTCCAATGACGCCATGTTCAGACATGCTGGGAGAAAAAAAAAAAACACAACAAATACTCCAATGTAAAGATGAAATAAACAATTTTTAAAAATCGAGTTTCCAGATGGGATATAAAATACTCCAATACTGATAAAATTCAAAACATGTAAAGGGAAGAGCTACAAAAGCAAACTTACATGTCATCTAAATGAGAATCTAAGGACTTTTCCATCGTCGAAACTGTGCCCAATTTCGTATCAGACTGATCGTGTGGGGTTTTACATGAGCACTTACACAACTCTTCTCTTTCACTTAGATTGTACCCGCTGACCAGTTTGCGCTCGATCCACTCTCACTCGGGCTTATCACTCCACCTTGATTATCGTTCTTCAACGTTCGAATCTACCTTTGCCTCGAGGTTCGCGTTGTTTTCTCCCTCAAAATCTACTTGAAAATGGCTACAGCAAGCACTAGTGACGATATTTCTGAATGGCAGCTGACAAAGAACACAGTCAGCGAGCGAATCAAGCACATGTACAGAAACCCGCTGTTGGCTGATGTCCATTTCACTGTCACAGATGGGCAAGGAAGTTCTTCTCCTAAAGTCAAAATTCCTAGTCACAAGTTCATCCTGGCTGTTAGTAGCCCTGTGTTCTATAAGATGTTTTACGGTGGACTTAAAGAGCCTTCTGATTATATTGATCTCCCTGACTGCGATTCAGAGGGATTTCTCGAGTTCTTACATTTCATCTATTGCGACGAGGTCGAATTAACCGGAAGTTGTGTTCTCCAAGTGCTCTACTTGGCCAAAAAGTACATGATTCCGGCCTTGGAAATCCGGTGTAGAAGCTTCTTACGGGAAAATATCAACGCCGAGAATGTCTTGGATTTGCTGCCGGTCGTAGAAAAAATGGAGGAGAGCCAATTAAATGATGTGTGCTGGAACTGTATAGATAAACACCCAAGGAAGGTTCTAGATTCTGCCCAAGATTCTTTCCTTGAGGATAACGATCTCCTGGTTTCGATGTTGAAAAGAGACACCCTGGACATTAAAGAAGTGGAAATATTTCAAGTCGTGAATCGCATGGCGGAGAGTATTTGTGTCAAACGAGGAATAACACCCACTGGAAAGGAAAAACGGAGAATTATTGGTGAAAAACTTCTGACTTTAATCCGTTTTCCCATCATGCCAGAAAAAGAGTTCGCTGAACATGTCACGGACACCAAGATACTCTCAGACTCGGAGGTCGTTTTGATGTTTATGTACTTTAACCTGAATCGAAAACCCGGCAAGTTTTCATACATCCCAAGATGTCTCAACAATGCAAATGTGCAGCGTTGCAAACGTTCACGGACCTGTTTCGAAAATTTAAACTACAACGGATATCAAGGATGCTGTTGTAATGATACTGATTTCAAAGATTCGGTGTCCCTTACCGTCAACATACCAATTGCACTGGGAGGAATTCGCCTCTTAGGATCTAAGGGGAGAGAGTATATAGTCCAACTAAAACTAAACGGTCAATTTATCATGAACGAACGTTCCCTAACCGCCGGCGAGAAAAGTTGGAATTCCGTTTTGGTAGGATACGACATCATTTTTGGACGATACCACCTATTGGAACCCAACCAGCCCTACGTCTTTAAAATTTTTGTTAAAGGACCAATTTGTGAACACGTCGCCAAAACTGTTTTCGCCAAAGAAGAGGTGTGTGCGGACAATATTACTTTTAAATTTGGGAGGGTCACTAAAAGGGGCTTTTGGGGTGTCAAGGAATTAATTTCGCAAATTCTTTTTTGAACTTTAAGTAAAAAAGGGTAAAGCCTGCTTTCGAGTCAAGTGGCCTATCGAGCCGGCGCTTAACTCCGGTTTTCGTAGCATAAAGCGAACAGGAGTACTAAGAGTATTTCTACCCCCCCCCTGGATGGAATGCTAGTGATACTCCCCCCTGGATGGAATGCTAGTGTCTTTGCACTCTTCCTCTTTCGTGTGATTGGCCTTTTGCTCATGCTTCTGGTTGCCGTAAACGCTGCATTGACTCCCTTTCTGTGAGCTAAATTTCTTACAGGAATGGATAATATCGGCGATAATTTGCGTGTTCTTAGCTTTGATTTAAAAAGACCAAAGGACTTTGCCTATTAATAAGCGGTATACTCCAGCTCCGTTCAGTCTTCATGAAAAATTGTCGGTCATTTTCAGCCGTCAAGTTTTAGTAAACTTGATGGCTGATTCTTGTGGTAGTTTTACTGTAGGACCACGGTATTTTAATTGTTTTAATCGACAGGGCAGAGGTCTCCCAATCTTTTTGCAGGCGATACAAAGGTTCATCGCCTAGAGCACGAAAAGTGGAAATTAAACTAGTTCATCTGTTTTGATAATACAGAAAAGAGCCGAAATGGTTATTGGTAGAAAGCTGAGTATGCCTGCTGGCTATTTAAAATTTTACTTTAAACAAAGAATGTATGTGTTGATAATTACTCCTAGGTAGCCAGTTGAACGCGTGTTATAGCTGTTGGGATATTAGTCCTGCGGCGCGATGAATAAATTTCTCTTAAAATTAAACATTTTTTAGCTTGGCAGAGCCGCTTAGCAAATGCAAAATCAGTCTGCAGTAAAGGCGTTATCAATTAAATGGTTTTAAATGAAAAATACAACAGTTATTATTATTTATAATATTATGATTTTTTTCTTTTTTGCATTGCTTTATGACCCATCACTTCCCTCCTTGTGGTCAAGGAAATGAAAAAAAAAAAAAAAACAAACAAACAAAAAAAACAAGAGATTCAAGCTGACATTATAAACCACGATATTGGATCTGAATATGGCAAGCTACTAAAACGAGTGAAGAAAAGATAAATATGTTCGGAAGTGCGAACATAACAGTCAACTTTAATCAACGAGAAAATGAACTCCATAGTCACTTGGAAAAATGACGTGCGCGGCATGACGCGTGAACTGTTCCATTAAAGCTCAAACTGGGCTGCTGATAGCCAATCACGTTCAAGAATTTTGTCATTGTTTGAATAATTTTCATAAATTCAATGAACTTTTAAAGCCCCTTCGGGATCTTTGCTACCATGCAAAGTGGCTTTGTTCTCGATTCCTTTCAAGTTTATGAACAAACACTAAGGGTAACCGGCTGTTGTAACAAAAGGTGAAACTTTTCCCAAAGGGCACCAAAGTAGTATTACGTACAAAGAACGTCAATGATAATTCCTGTCAAACGTGACCAAGTATCAACATATGTGCATGTACACGACCATCACTTCATTGGATAAAGTGAAAAACGTTCAAAAACGCGCCGAGACCAGTTTAGAAATTGCTCAAAGAGATTCAGGGATTCCTGCATAAGCTCCATAGTTGGTGAGTGGTGCTAAACTGGTCTTTACAATTATGATCGAAGAGCTCAGTGCGTGGTTGCTTTCAGTTTGTAATTGGTTGTTCAACTTTAAATTTAGCTCTGAAAAAGGGCAACGCTTGATTCATCAGCTTTTGAAACTCTCTGTGTTGGAGAATTTACAATATCAACTTTGCTGATGGAACCAAATCAACTCATAATTTGACCTGTCATACTTTGTTGATTTATAATTTTCCATACCTGTGACCTTACCGTTTCTAAGTCCACCAAACTGAACTGAATCACCATTTTTAAAACTGGGTCAGACAATCCCTTCAGAGAATTTGTGTAACTTTTGGACAAAAACTTGTCTTTCACAGCTTAGCCTGGAAAGTTCATGGAAACACTTTTGAAATCTTTAGTTGAATACGATAACTTACGCATGAAACCTATAATTTCAATTTTCGATTTATCAAAGTATGCTGTCTTCTCTTCTACCAGTAGAATCCTGTTATGCTTCGTTCATTGTCGGTTCCTATAACCTTATGTTTTGTAAATTTGTGATAATTCAAAACTGAGCAATCATTTCGAGCTCGGTGTCACATATTCTCTATGGTAAATTTGTGCAGCTTTTGGAAAAGAATGTTATCTACCATCGTCCAGCTAAGAAAGTTGTCTTTTGAATACCTCAGTTGATTAAGTAAAGTCGTAATGATTACGTAAACACGAAACTGAATAAACCAGTGATCCCAAACTTCGGTTAACCAATGTCATCGTCTGTATGTACTTAAGATAAAGTTAACTTATTTTTGCCGCAACCATTTGGCAAAATTTCTTTCCTTCTTTCGAACCCTCTTTCAAAAAAATGGTTATTTTATGGTAAACTCTGTCAAGAGGTTAAAATGTGCTGTCTTTTCCAGAGTCTTTCCCATGGGAGCAACGAGAATACTTTCGATGAAATCAAAAATACATTCGTGGGTTTTGCTGCTGCTAGCCTCTATGAGATCGTAAGTTGCAGTGCTTTTATTATTCAGACAGACCTAGACACATTTGAGCCGTAATTTTCGGCTAATACAAACCGCTACCCATACATAACATGCCATTTTACCGCTTAACGGCGGTGCATTTGAACCTTTATAATGAGCTGTAGAATTTGCCTGTAATTTTTACACGCATTTCCGTGCATTTCTTTTACTCGAGCGTAACGCGCGTGTAATTTGCGTGTAACTTGCGTGCAGTATGGCAGATATAGACGTATGAAACGCGCGTGTAATGCTGCTATTCCTGCGGCCTGTACTGTATGTGTCAAGACAGTCGCCAGCGTGGCGTAAATATGCCGCGTTTTGCATAAGAGACGAAAACACTATGTAACGTAGAGTACCACGCTGGCTTCTTTGCGGCTTGCGTTTAAGACACCAACTTGCAACGAGCCGCGGGCGAAAGTATCACTGCGCGCTCTTCTTTAGAGAGTAGGGTAACCAATAGTTGCATCTCAAACTGTAATGGAGAAAATGCCTGGCCAAAAAGATATCAATAAAAAATATTGAAAATTATCAGAAACGTTTAGACATAATATCCCCGGCTTTTGTTACATTGATCACTCTCGTGTCGTTTGATAATAAATATTGGGATACAACAATGAGGGTTGTTGCTGTTGTTGGGTTTTTGTATCCTCCACCGCTGAGTTACCAAATGATCTTTAAACCCCTGCGCGCATAAGTACAGATACCAGCACACACACTAAAGATTTTGCTGCATTGTTGATACAATAGCATGCTGGAAAAACTCTCAATACAATATAACTTTTAGCTTGTTTTATTGCAGAGTCCAATGTGAAGACGATGTGGTGACCAACTTTTTTAGTGATTACGATAAGGCTGTGCGGCCTGGTTTTGGTAAGATATTGCTATTGATGATTAATACTGATTGAGAGTTTACGCAAGGCAGGGCTTAGGCTGTGA